TGGAATTGTATCATATGTTGCACCCGAGCTACTTAGAGGCAATAACATGAAGAACACAAAAGAATCAGATGTCTATGGTGCTGGGATGTTAATGTGGGAAATATTTGCAGGTCACCCACCATTTGATGATAGAGCTCATAATCATCATTTAATTTTTGATATATGTGAAGGTTTACGACCACCAATATTACCTGGAATGCCTAATGATTATGTGCAAATGATGCAGAGATGTTGGGATGTGGATCCATCAAAAAGACCAACTAGTAGAGAGCTTCATGATTTTGTTGATAATAAATGTAAGGAAACTTTTAAAAAAAAAAGTTTAATAAAAAGATTATTCAAATTTTTCAATAATGATGGTGGCAGCAACAGCAGCAACAGTAGTAGTGTTTCGCAACAAGCATACAAATCACATCCAGATGCATATCACAAAAGTAGAATGTTAGATGAAGAAATTGCTAAATCTAAAAGCTTAAAAATTTATACAAGTAATCATAGTTCATTAAATAATCTTGATTGCGACTCTTTTCTCTAAAATGTTAACAAAGGTGAATAACATTTCATTATAATCAATTAGAAATTACCATCCATTAATTTTACTAACAATATTAATTAATTAATTAACATTAGATTCTAATGATAATTGGTCAAATGAAAGAATTAATTTAATCCCCACTATAAATTTATTATTATCTTTTTTATTTATCTTTCTTTATATTTTATCCTTATTTTGTTTTTCAAAGTTAAATTATAATAATGTTTTGAAATAATAAACTTTTTACAGTTTTTTTGATTCTTGTTAAATGGTGATAATGTGAGGTATCATTTTGGTTGATTAACAATTATGGCTTAACTTTTAGGCTACTCTTGTCAGTTAATTGCAAATAATTCAATTAATTAGTTTATGAGTTTATTCTTTCTTGCACTAGACGAATCTGAGTCCAAACCTTTACTTACTCACTAAAGCAAATTACATTACTAATTGTTGTTAACACTTACTAGTTAACCAACATTAGTCCTGCCTAATTGCCCACTAAAGCAAATAAATGTGGCTTTTTACCAAAGCTCCACAGTTGTTATCTTTTACCATGGCACTAACTACACTTGTTGCTTTTATCAAGTGTTTTAAACAAAGAAGATAAGGACAATTTTTATTATTAAAAGTTTATTTTAAAAAAATGATGATCCTATTGCAGAGTCTTGGAATGTTAATTTTCCTCTGTGAGGACCCGAAGTCATTCTTTTTCAAGCAAATACCAGAAGTTAATGAAATTTTTGTTGATCACTACAATAAGAACAAAGAAAAAGATGGTTATATTAAAACTTCCATAATTATTTACAAAGTAATTTTTGCATAAAATTTTCATTATACAATAAAATTAATTGGCCCTGAACCCAAATTTCTGATTTGTTTCGTTCAATTCGAATCTATATTGATATTAACTTAAAAAACAATGAATCATGCAACTGTAAATTACATTACTTTTTTGTTATCATTATTAATGTTAATATGTAGAGTTCTGTTTGTACAAATTCTTATTCGAATTATTCGTTTTATTATTACTGACAGATACAGCAACAATCATTTATTAAGAAGGGCAAATATGGCAAAAAATTATATGTGAAATTAATATAATTTGTTGGCAAAAGAGCTGATATTTAGTGTGGTCTTAGCAAAGAAGAAAGAATGATTCATGCAGATAATTGTTCATGACAAAATAAAAACAATGCAACGATCAAATATTTGGCATGATGAGTGTTGAAAGGTTTCCATGAAATAATCACATATTCTTGGACTTGATGTATTTAAAAAATTTTGAAGTTGATGATTTAGAAACAAATGGTTATATAATATTGTACAAACATTTTTGAAGATAATGAAAGAATAGTTTTTTTTTCTACAGCTGGACTGAAGATTTAAACCATAATGATAAACAAGTTTTTAAACGGTGAGTTTCGTGAAATGCAGATTAGCATTACAGCGTGATGATATTCTGATGTCATAATATTATAAAATCACATAAATAGAGATGGGCAGATCAGTACTATGCGTATAGTTCTAGAAAATATAGTAGTAAATATAAATCAATTCCTGTTTAGGTTATTGCCAGATAATAAATAGATGTAAAATGTCGGTCGCGTTTATTTAGTCGAAAATTATTTCATCCTCGAGCCAGAGACCGAACGAGTTAGATGTAAGGAGTGTGGGAAGTTGGTTATGAAATTAGGTGAGGAAAGCGGAGTGTGTGGGAAGTGTGAAGAGCCCCTTCGGGAGAACTTTGGGCTAAAATTGGCGTTTCAATGTCAACAAATTTTTGTTTATGAAGAAATTTGTTTAATGAAGTTTTTTTTTTTTTGTGACGAAATAATTTTCGACGAAATGAACTTTCGATGAAACAAACTTTCGACGAAACAAACCTTCGACGAAATGGGTGTCGACGAAATGACTGTCGACGAAATGATTGTCGACGAAATGAATCAGACCCATCATATAAATAGGCCCGCCACCCCAAAAACGGTGCATTGGTTTGTTTTTTACGTTACATTAAAATTCGAGGGTCGAGCACGTAGTGCCGAAATGGCATTATGTGTATGATTTGGCTTTGCACGTTACATTCAAATGCGAGGTATCTATATATTCGTTCGGAGCATCAACATTAGCCAGTAATAATAATATTATATAATATTTTTATTTAATTCGTTGTGTTGAGCAAAAAATTTATTT